TATATTATACCAATAATTTAGTTGCTAGAATCTACGAAAGTATATATTAATAATATAATTAATGTAATTCAATGATTACTTTGAAATTTTTTTATGTCAATTTATGTTAAAACATTGTAATCGGTTCATTTAACATTGCAATTAAAAAAATGTTAAAGTAACTATTGAACATTTGTAAAAAGTATTTGACTTATTGTTAAATGAAACGATTAATAGATTCTTTTGAAAGTAATTTAAATAAATTTTATTCTAAATCTTAACATTTTCTTTTTCGACATATTGTAATGACAGACAAATCAAACACGATTTTATATTTTATTGGATCTATCATGTAGATTTTTTGTTGGGAGTCATCAGTAATATGTAAATCAATCAATCAGATGTAAATTAGGTATGTAATAATTGAAGAATCTAAAGGTAAAACGTATTCATTAGTACTATCAGTACTGTACCAAAAAAAGAAAGAGTATGTTTTATTTTAAATTAATTATATCAAGTAATTAATATGTACAATTTTTAGCTAAATATATATATATATAGAAGTTTGTAAAAAGTTTAAAAACTCACTCTAGAAAAATATGTAAAATGTCACTGAACACTTGTAACTCTCGTTACACTTCAATTTTTACCCTTTACCCGATAAAAACTATGTCAAAGAGTATATTTCACAAAGAACATACAAAGAGACATTGTAATATTACAATGCTATTAAATATATGCATGTAAAGTAAAATGAACAAGAGAATGAAAACAAAACATGAAGAGACATGAACAATTGTTATTCGAACGATAATATATTACATACAAGATTGGGTGAGATGTTAATTTCGAAATTTTGCGATAAAAAGAAACAAAAGAAAAATTTCCCATATAAAAGCCGGTGTTGTTGGGGGTGGGGGGATGGGATCGGTTCGATCCGATGACCTTTTCATTTTCTCGAGCAGATTCGAAAGCGATTGCTTGCTTATCCTGTTGTATTATACGTGTAACTACGTAAGAACGATGGTGCAAGAACGTTTTAGCTGTAACAACAGCTGAATAAAGGCTCGAATTTCATGCCGCGCGTTATTTGAATGAGAGAAAAGGTGAAATTGCATGGTTGTACGATGGTGATCGATATTTACCATCAAAAGTCGGACACGTTCCCTTTCGATAAACGCGTTCCTCAACGCGTGTTACTTACTTATTACACACACACACATAATTCTGTGACCCATTCTCATTTTTCTGACATACTTAAATGATACATTTTTCTACCCAGTTCACCTGTTTTTCCCTACGCGTTGAAATTTAGGTCCTGCATTTATCGATCCACCTTCCATGTTCTACTATTCTCATTGATTTTTTACTTTTGGTAGATAAAAATAGAAAAGGGGAAAAAGAATGTTTAATAAATATTATTTCTATCACTTGACGAGATATTAAATAACCAGTGGAGATTATGCTTCGATTTTTTTTATTACGCGATTCTAATAAATTTATGCTAACTATTGTATTATTTGTCGACTAGTGTTCGTTAATAATTTCTATCCACTTTCTTTCGTATTTTTAATTTATCATTTTTTGTGATCGATCGCGAGAATAATGTAACTTCGATATTTTTTTTAAGATTTTATATATTTATGCGCGCTTCTCCAGTTTTTTTTTTTTTTTATTTATATTCAAATTTTATCTATCTCGATTTTTTTGTTCTCTTAATGTTTCAATAATTATATATACTTGTTTATATATATATATATATATATGGGTAACTTTCTTTTTAATTCTTACACAATTTATTTCTTCTTTTACATTTTAATTAAACATCCATCTTCGTATTATTAACTGAACGGAACAGTTATCGTACAAATGTGTTCTGTCTAAATGATCACAAGCGAATAAGAATAATAAACATTAGAAAGAGAAAAGTCACCTCTGTTGGCTTCGAAATGAAGTTAACGAATCCTTACGAATCGAAAATCGCGAAAGGAAAATCAAAAGCAATTGTCTTTTTACAAGAGACACATTTTGTTTTATAATTATTATAAGTACAAAAATATAAGCTACATTTTGATAGTACATATATACTTTACAATCTTTTTTTTTTTCTTTTTATAATAATCTTTCTTCGAGATAAATCGTCAAAAGAATGAGATATAATTTTGTAGAATAATTTTTGCAACGAATCAGATATATTTTTAATTAAAAACGAACTTAATTATTTCTTTACAACAAATTATTATTATTATTATTACAAAACAATAATGATAAACGTGTAATTTTACGTCGAATTACAATTATAATAAATTATAACGAATAATACGATTTCGCAAAGAAAAATTATGACGGAAACAATAAACCGCCCCTTTAACATTCCAACAAATTTCTTCAAAAAAAAAAAAATAACACTTCACGCACACACATATAAAAAAAAGTAGAAAAGATTGTTAAATTCCCATTAAACAAAAACTGACTCATCCTATACGGACACGAAGAAAAAAGACCGGTTGACCTTCGGGGTAACAACGTTTACAGAAAACATAAACCGTAAAGAGAAAGAAAAGAAACGCATCCCAGGTTGAAAAATTAAAATGGCAACATTTTTTTCTAACAGTCACTTAAAATATATATATATATAAAATGCATATAATAATAAACAATTAAGTATATTATTATAATAAATACCTTGACGTAAAGCTGTCTTAAAGTCATGGCGATTGAGTTAATTTCAGATGAGAATTAAGGATTCCTCTCGTAATTGTCTAATTCGTACTTGTTCGTCGTTTTTCTATTAGTCGAGGCCTGTGTTTCGTCGTTGTAGTCGTCCTCGTCGTCTTCTTCTTCTTCTTCTTGGTCTTGGGTTTGGGTTTGGGTTTGGAAATGGTCGCGCGTGCTCTACGTGAACCGCCGACCTTCTCGTCCCGGATACATACCACCGACCTTTTTCTTCTCTCAACTGATCACGGCATCCTTTTTCCTTATCTATTTATATATTTTTCCTTTTTTAATTATTATCTTTTTTTTGCACGTCCGTTTGTCCGTCAGTAAGTAAGTAAGTAAGTAAGTAAGTCAAGTCAAGTCAGTAAATTCAGAATTAGTTTCTGTTTCTTTATTTGCTTCTTCGATTTGTCCAGCAGGTTCCCCCTTTTCTCAGTCGAGGAAAAGAAATGAAAAAAGATACCTTTAACGAAAAATTCCTTTTGTATGATATACCCTTCCAATAATTTTGGTTTTTTCTTTTCCTATTGTCTCTTTACAACGACGTAGATCGATTTCGCGCAGTAATTAATTCACTGTCACCTTAGATCTAACAATTGTAACTAAATATTATAATATAACCCATTCGGTTCTTCTTCTTCTTTCTTGTCATCCACCCACGTACATACATGTACACAGAGGCACAGACACACAACACACGCACACACGCAAATCACCCACCACTGTGTGTTAGGGTGCACGGTAGAAAAAAGCTTTAGGAAAGGGGAAAAGAAAAAAGAATTAATTTTTGATTGACAACGAGAGGAAAATACACCTTCCCGCAAAACCTTCTAGAACGGCACTGAGACCAGCTGGTTCGTTATCGGGTTTAGATTGGCCACCTCACCTCCTTCTCCACCACCTGCCAACATGCCAACAAACCGCACTATCTTTTTCCCACTCTATCTCTCTCTCTTTCACTCTTTAATTCCACCCACCAACCCCTTTACTCCCCACCACATCCAACCCCCCTTGTAGGAAACCAACGCTATCACCACGTACTCGGTGGCCTTCGTTTGCGTCGATCAACGCGCATCCTTCTTCCATCTTCGTCTTTTCTGAATTAAATTCATCAATACCGAGATGTTCTCTACCTTTGAAGATCGAAGTCATATAACGTTTAGTGGCATCTTACATTTCGGATGTATACTTTTATGGGGCTAAATATTGTGTGGGATAGTAGATATCTAGATTATCTTTAATATTGTGATGATATTATTTATTATGCGTTTCACACAATTTGCAGATTTGTGTGAAAAATCAATAATGTCGAATAACAGATATCTACATTATCATTAGGATTTTTTGTGTTTGGAAATGCTGACTTTTGTGAAATAGATATTGTGGGATAGTAGAAATCTATATTATCTTTAGAGACTTGATGATATTGTGTTTAAAATACTGAACACAAAAAAGTTGGCATAGAATCGCAACAGCAGAAAAAATGTATAAGTGTAAATCGTCCAATTTGCAGATGCACTTTTCAACTGAATTCTATATTTATTTGGATCACAAATTTTTATATTAATCGTTGCAATGTAATTCAATTTAAACGCGTGATTTTACATTTACATAAAATAAATAAAAATAAAGAAATAGGAAAAGTAAAAATGCTAAGTTACTAAAAAAAATAATATCTATTAACTATTAGGAAAACTTGAAAACTGCATTATATAGAAAGGAAAAATTTCAAATTTAATAAAATACGATCACAGTGAATAATGTTAAAGACGAATCAAGAAAAAAGAAATTATTGTAAGATTTACCGAACGTTATTAAAGCTTCACAATTTAATATTACGAAAATGTTCAAATTTTTTTACTCGAAATAGTGATTATAATTATTACTTATATATAGTTCAATGTTTCTTATTATTATAAA